CGTTTGACAAATTCTTCGTTGCAACAGTCGAAGAATTTCCTATTTTTATTAACCAATCAAAAGCTATCACGAGCAGTCACGGACACTCCGAAAAGTGTCACGTCAGCATGACGTAAGACGGGAACGCCATGTTACTTAGCAACTAGTTTGGGTATGAAGACCGCTGGCCAATCAGTATTCAAGGACAAAACGTCACTTGTTCTCCCTTCGAAAACCATTAATCTTCTTACATTCACATTCTTTTTCGATTTCCATGTGTGAGTTTCTTTTTTTTTATTGCAGAACACCTCTCAAGGGCTACTCCGAGGTGGATGGATCCGCGAGAAGATCATCGCCCACGAGACAGCCATCCAGCGGTGATTCACTGAAAGAAAACCAATGTGATTCAAATACCGCGGACGAAAGACAAGCTAGGAGAATCAATGAGCATGCGCGCAATGTCAAGAAAGCTCTGCAGATGAAAAGGAGTTCATCTGGTGATTTATGAGGGGTGACGTCAGTTGACGTCATGTCACGTCAATTGACGTCATGCTGACGCCACTTTCTCGTCAAGCCATCAAGGAAGTTGCAGTTCCACAAAAGAGAAGAAAAAAATTTCCGAGCCTTTGCAGAATGGAGTAGACATTCTGCGACACGCTTACATGTAAATATCATCAGTGCTATGCAGGCGTGTTGAACCATACATGGTTCTTTTAAAATATGGAAAAAATGAAATCTCTTCCTAATAGTAGTGATTGCATTTCTTCAATCATTACTATCATTCATTGCTTTCTAATGAGATGTTCTCTTTTACCGCGCTAACTTTAAACCTCTTCGAGCGTTCTTCTCAGCTAAACGCCAGTTACATAATTTCTGAGCGAGTAGTTAACTGTCTACTAGAAAATTTGCGGTACATGACACATACAGTGTTTTAACTTGCTTCTACGTCAGCGAAAGCGTTTTGGTAAAATTTTGATGTTTTTGGTCTGAAATGAAAAATCGTATGTTTACTCTACGGCCTGGAATTGGGTATGGTTTAGAAGAAACGTTTCGTCCATTGCCAGCCGTGAATTTGAAGAAAACTGTTTAAACCCAAATTGAAGACATTCCTGGTTGCGTGTGAAAACACGACATAGGTGTCTCAGTCAGTACTGAACGTAATTGTGCCTACGTCACTCAGCCTTAAGGTTTCAAGTTAATTTCTCATTTTGTTCATATTGCAAACTAATTTAATGCTTTCTCAGAAGAGTGGAACGTTGAGCTGGATCTTTACGTTGAAGTTCAAGAAGCTACGCCTACGTCACAGGTTGCGCATCTTGGATAGTTTAGCCTAAATTTTTCACGTTTGCCGTTTTTAATCCATGTTTGTCTTCTCCATCCTTAACCATCCTTGTTCCTTTATGGTTTATTATTATCTCTTTGGTGTTTTTCTATCTTCGTAAACTATTATTTCCAGGTTCCTACAACTACATTTTTACGTGGCAAAGGTTGCCCAACCCGGCCACGGAGTGCAGGTGCTGGTGCATGTCATTAAGTTAATACAGTGCCAAGTAATATTTTGTTGTGCATGGTGCTCTTGTAAAAGTAATTTTGTGCGTGGCCAAAACAACTCAAAATACGAGTTAGGAAGTCTTCAGATCGTGAATCACTGAATTCTGTCTCGATAGTGACGAAGCAAAACTACATGTCAAACGTGGAATAAATGCTGGTGTAATTGTATAGAGTGTATAGATAATGTATTATATTTGTAGAAAAATAAGAGAAAACTATTGCTGTGGCAAATAAATGCGATTTTCTTTACAATGCATTTTTATTTTCATTTGCCTGTTATGCTGATACTGTCGAGGGTAATTCGCATGAACAGCTTAGAAGTCAGCTATTTAACTTTTTCTTTCTCTCACATTCATACAATAAAGGTAAAAAAGGTGAGATTACCTGTAGCCAGCCACCTTTACCAGTATTGGGTGAGCAGCTTTGTGGCCTTTACCCTTTCGTAAGAGCAAAAGTTGAATTGTCCTCATGTAATTTACGACCACACCTTTTCCATCTCTGATTTAGTTTGAAACCTGTATAGACACATTTCAAAACTGGTGGACAAATAAAACGAAACAGCAACTAGCATTGTCAAATAGTATGATTTTATACGGTGTTTTCGACAAAACGGAGCATAGATACTCTTTGAACTATGTGCTTCTAATTCTACAAGAACGTGCACGGGACGATGCCTCTGGAACTGTTCAATTCAAGCGTTTCGAAATGCTTTAAAAAAATGGAGAAACAGGCTTGGCTGTTTGGTGCGCGAAATACTTTTTATAAGAGCTTTAAAGCCAAATCTTAACGTGCAATCAGATTCCATTCGTACGAAAGTATTTTTATAATCTTCGTACCTTTTTATGTTAATTCTTCGCGCCAAAATCGCTTTAAATGTTGTAATTTGCATTTCTCTTATTGTGGTAGTTATTAGATTTATTAGTTAGGTAGTTAGACCAATTTAATTCAATATTGTTAAGTCCTGAAGGAAATACCGTGTCTAAATAAAGATTTCACCTTTACCTTTTACCTTTAGGGTATAAGGGTAAAGGGGTAGAAGCGTATAAGGGCATAAGGGCACAAGGGGTATAAGGGTCTAAGGGGGTATAAGCATATAAGGGTATAAGCGTATACGGTTATAAGGGGTATAAGCGTATAAGGGTATAAGGGGTGTAAGGGTAAAGGGGTATAAGGGTTCAAGATGTATAAGGGGACAGGGGAATAAGGAGTATAAGGAGTATAAAGGTTATAAGGCGGTATAAGGGCATAAGGGGTATAAGGGTGTAACGGCCGAGGGGTATAAGTGGTATGAGGGTATAAGGTGTATAAGGGGTATAAGGGTACAAGGCTCCGCTTTCTTCGAAAACATTACCCCTCTAGGGTATACGGACCAGCAAATGTGTCAAGGAAAGGTCTCCGTTGAAGAACTCCTAAAAGCCTTAAATGATTTCCAAAACGCGTTCCATTTTGATAGCTGCTAATTGTGGTGCTTTATCTGCAAGATCCAGCAAGTATATAAATATGTTAAGTCGAGTTCATGGCCATGTTAAATGTTTTTCTAGCTGGGGCAATAACTTCTGGGGTATAATTTATTCTGCCCCAAAAGGTTTTCGCTCCGTTCTACTGAGACCTTCGGACCCCACCCTCCCCGCCCTCCTCCACATCCCGCTTCCCCCCGCCGCCACTCTCCCCGCCAAGGCCCCCATGAACCTCACGCGAATAACTCGGTCAAAGAATCTGGATCGAGTGCAAAAGGTCTTGCCTTGTACATGTTGTACGTCTGAGCAGAACTCTGGTCCAAAGAATTATTTCTGACTTTTTCCACAATGCCAGGGAAGAAAGTCTATGTTGTTGGGGTGGGCATGACCAAGGTAAGTAGCAAAATAATATTTTGGGATTAAATTAGGTCCAATATCGAAGGCTAGAGCAGGCGAAAAGAGAACAAAACACTACATACGCAAATCGAGATATCTCCAGTCTTAGATATTCAGCTATGTTTAGGATTATTTCCAATCATATTTAGACAAATTTGATCAAAGATGGAGTATTCAGCTTCGTTTAGTTGGGAAATTTTTCGTTATCAGTTAATTGTTTGTCCCCAGCCTCAAATGGTTCGAAATTTTAGATTTCTCGAAGTGATTACACAACCATACATGTCATATCTTGATTTACCATCATGCAACCAAGACAAAGCTTATAGTGTGCAGAAATCTAAGTCTATTATTCCAATGCTATATTTAAAGAAAGTTTGTAAATTTTCTTGCGGGTAAGTGTTATATCTTTGCTTGTACATGACTTGTATTCTTGCTAGGCATCTGAAATTTTTCCAAAAAAAGTCACAAACAACAACTCAACAGCTGAATAATGTTTTCTGCCCCCCCCCCACTCCCCTCCTCCCTTCACACCCCTCGAAAAACTGCTCCACCAATTAGTGTTATTTAAACATCAAAAATTCTTATTTTTTTCAGTTTGAAAAACCTGGTCACCGTGAAGATTTTGATTATCCTGATATGGCAAAAGAAGCAGGTTATATAAATGTTTTTGTTATGATGCTATTGGGATAGTGTCAACTCTTGCTAACTTGTTTGTTATTTGACTCTCTTGTATTCTACAAATTATTTGGTACAATTATTACAAGCCAACAGCGCAGACGTTTTCAATTTAACTGTCTACTATTGTCTGATGTCTCAGGGTGGCAAAGAAAAACACTGTTCTCACCTTCTTACAAAGTTTTGCATTCACCGTTCACCAGCCCTATGCTGAATTCTATATTATCCCCAGCTGGGACTCCTTTCCATCGCACGAGCTACTTTTCAGTATTTTTGTCAAATTTTGCCCCTTACAGCTAGGCTTTTACACAAGTTGCTCGG